AATATAGTGCAAAGACAATCCCCCAGAACGCAGCACAAATGAGAAGATAGAAAGTGTAAAAGTTTAGGGATATAGGGCATCAACTCAGATATTTCTAAAACCATTTAATAGGAATTCCAGAGAGAGAGAATGAAGAGTAGTGTTTTGATAAAGTTGGTAGATAATTTCTTAGTGTTTCAAAAGGACAAGAATCCAGAAATTAAAAGAGCTCACTTGTATTTTTAAGCTCACACTTTAGAAAAATCATAGCGAAACTTTTGAAAGTCAAAGACAAAGAGAAAGCCTTAAAGTTATATAAAGGTAAATGACCTTAAAGGGAATGAGAATTCAACTATTAGATTGCCCATCGGCAATATAAATACAAGAAGCATTAAATCTGAATAAATGTAACTTTGAACCAAGAACTGTATATGCATCCAGACTATTATTCATAAATCAAATCAGAAAAAGATAAATCCAGACATATAAGGACTCAGAAAGTTTACTACCCATGGACTATCAAATTTTGAAATCCAACAGAAAGAAAAATAAACACAAAGAGAAGAAGTTATAAGAAGCAATGATGAGCAAATGAATCAGTAACATATATTGTAAAACTGAAATAAATATTTCTATTTTGAAGTTTTTAATACATTGAAAATAAAATTAAGGTAAATGCCCTAAGGTAGTAGAAAGCTGGGTGGGTAGGGAGCAGGACGTTGGGCAGGAAATACAGAAAACATGTTTGCATGTTAAGGTTTTTGTCTTGTTTGGGGAGAGAAAATAGAGACCGACTTTTTAAAAGGGCTTTTAAAAAATAAAAGTTTAAGTATTAGAAGTGTAAAGAGAGCCCCAAACTAGAAATAACACAAATTTCCATCAGCAGGTGAATGGATAAACAAACTGTGGTATATTCATACAATTCCTACTCAGCAATAAAAAGGAATGAATAGCTGACACGCAACAACACGGATGAATCTGAAAAACATTATATTGAGTGAAAGAAGCCAGACACAAAAGAGTACACACTATATAATTCCATTTATATGAAACTCTGGAAAGGACACATCTAGTCCATAGTGACAGAAAGCAGATCAGTGGTCAGTGTGACCAGGGGTGAAAGATTGATTGGGATGGAACACAAAAGAACTTTTGGGGGGTAATGGAAATAAACGTTCCATATATTGTGTTGATGGTTACATGTGCATATAAATTTGTCAAAATTCATTGAACTATACACCTAATCTTGTACACTTACTGTACACAATATAATGGGTGCGTTATATTGTTTATAAATTCTACTTCAAAAAATTGACAAGAGGGACCACCAAAATTCTAAAAAGTATAACTTTCAAACCAATAGAGGTTGGAAGAGTGGGAAAATAGAGAATTAAATCAGAAATCAACAAAGGGGAGGCTTAGGTGGTACCAGCCTGAATCAGATGAAACAGAGATAAAGGGATGGGCTCGCTGGTACTGTGGAGTCCTCAGGCCATGTCCAGAGAACTGAGTGGGGCTGAATGGGATGAGGAATATGACCTGCAGTAGACCAGAGTAGAACCCGCCTGGACATCTGTATTGTTCAAGCTCCCCAGGTGATCCCAGCGTGCAGCCAAGGTGGAGACCACCACTCTGAGGTCAAAGGATAAACCACCGCAGAAGACTTGTAAACATCAGCTAATCAGCCAGAGCCTCTCTCAAGGGCAATTAAACCACCTCCCTTCAGCGCCTACTCACCCTCTCCCACCCACTGGCTCTTCTTTCAGGAGCTCTGTCCTTCTCTGCCTTATTCATATTTTCCTCTTTGTCTTTCCCTGACCTTTCCCTCAACCTTGCCTTTTTCTACCACTTACTTTTCCAAAGCTCTCCACCTAGAGTTGGAAATCAGATTTTTTAAAAGTCCAATTAAATGGCCATTTCATATATGTATGTGTATATATATACACACACACACACACACACACACACACACACACACACACACACACACACATATATATATAAAAATTTGACTAGAGTAAATGGTTTTTAACATGCATGGGCCCTTAATTACTTAATATTTCCTGTGCCTCAGTTGTCCTAATAGGAAAAATTAATCCCCACCCCTGAACTCCAGTGGTGACCAGACCCCCCAGCTCTCAGGGCAACTCTAATACAGACCCCTCTCTCTTGCAGAGAGAGTCCTGGACTCACTGCCCTGTTTGTTCTGGGTCCTGCAGATTTTGCCCCCCTGTAGAGGGGGTGTTGGGGAAAATGGATGCATGCAGGGTTATGCAGGTAGTCCTTTCCTCCTCTCCAAGAATGGCTCCATCTGACACGAGGGAGCTTCCATTTGAACTCTCGGCAAAAGAATGGAGTGACAAGGGAAAGAGCTGCTTGGCCTGAGCTCTGAAGATGTGGTGCTTCCATGCCAACCAGCCACTTGCCAACACCTGAGACCCGCCCCCTTCTCAGTGCTGCACCATCCAAAAAATGGAGGGGATATTTCTCTTTCCTTTTTTTTCTCTTTCCCTTCCTCCTTTCCCTCCTTTCTTCGAATGACCCCATTTCTTTTTTCTGTAGGGGACTGTTGTGAATACCTGGAAATGTGTCTGAAGAAGCCAGGGGGTCTAATATTTGGACCAGCCTCTGTCCTCACACTCCCTCAGCTAAGACAGTGGTCCCAGGGCCACCATGTGTTACAACTCCATGGGGGCAAATTCACATCATCAGTTTCTACTCAGCCTCAGAGGAAATCAAACTTACAGCTGTGTTCTTCTAGCCAAATCCCTCCATCCTAGTCACATTCAGGACCTTGAAACTTTTTTCCAGCCATTCTGGGAAATGGTTGGAAATGAGGTATAAATGGAGTAGAAGTAGACTCAAATCCCTCCTCACCTAGGAGCAGGAGCCTAACTGGCCAGGTCATCTTTGACCCTCAACTCCTTACTCTGTTGGCTCCCACAATTAATCCTGGAGATGTTTCTTCATTCCCTAGCTGAGGTCACCCCAGCCCCTGCTGACCAATTTCTTGGCTAGAGCACTGGATAAACCTCCCCCCTTCCAGCCCTCCCACCCTTAGCCCATTATGTCTTCCCAAACTTAATCGGAGCCAACGTGGCATTTCCTATACGTCAGTGAGAATGAAGGTACTTACCAGCTCAGCACAAGCCCACGTGCCTGCTTTCTTCAAAAAACTTGCTGGCCTCGGAGGGCAAAAAATGACCCCCACCACGCTCAGGGTGGTGATCATATAGTGAAGCAGAGGCCTTGTTATATGTAACTTTTCATATATATGTGTATTTTTCTTGGGAGAAGGTCTATGACTTTCATCAGCTTTTCAAAAAGGTCCAAATAGGTTAAGAACCATTAGTGTTGTAAACTTTTTCATGGTTGGCAGGTAATGATCCATCTCTTTAGAATGTAGGATCTCACTCATTTGTCAAATATTCACTGAGCATCTACTATGTGCCAGCTACTGCTCCAAGCACTGGGGATATAGCAGTGAACAAAACAGACAAGAAATTCTGCTCTTAGGGGGCTTACTTTCCAGGGACCAGAAATAGCCTGAAGTCTTATGAAGCATTAAAGACAGACTGAAGAGTCTAAGTTTTGAGCTCTGTGACAGTCTAAGAACTCTGAACATTATGAGTTTCAAGTTCTAAGAACTCTATCAAGTTCAAAGCTATGAACTCTACGGAGGGCCTAATAAGTTTTTGGTGATAGATGGTACACACAGCAGTGGTGATAACAGCAGCCACAGCAGGAGCTCAGGGGCCAATCTGGGCTGCCCCAAAGGAAACCTCTCACTGCTGAGCCAAGAGGCAGGGGTGGTGGTGGCCTGTGATGGGCAGCAATGATAAGGAGGCAGGAGAGAACCAAGCTGCCCCACCCCATGCCAGCCCAAAGCACTGGCCCTTTTGAGGCCCAGCTCCCTCAGCCTTCCCCAGCTCACGTCCAACTGGAGGCCTGGGGATCCCCGGCCAGGCCAGGCTGGGGGCACAGGCTGGGATCTAACTACCTTCCTTCCAGCTGGAGGCCAGAACTAGGGTGTTCTTTCCAGAGTCAGGACAGGAAAAGCTTCCTCACATAAGTGTCCCTGATTGGAAAAGGAATGGTGACTTTGGTCCCAAAGAGCATGCTGATGTAAGTGAGAGGGAGGGAGAGTGGAGCAGTGGGTGCAGCCAAAGAGAGCACTCCTAGTGGTGGTGATGGTGGCGGGAGAGGGGAGCCTGGTGCAGAAGGAGCAAGTGTTCAAGTGAGTATGGCAACTGGGCCACTGAAGGGCCCCAACTGGCTCAGCATGGGTAGGGCAGGAGTGAGGAGAAAGAGGCTGCAGAGGCCCACGGCCTGAGGAAGAGAACCTACAGAGTCCCCCAGACGAAGCCTGGTCAGAGTGCTCTCCCTTCCACAGACACAAAATCTGCCCATGCTGGAAAGATTCCAGACATGTGGAGGGTCCTAGATGGGTGGGGAGAGGGCGAGAGAGAGACAGATTGCCCAGATCATCGAATGCATCTGTGTAAGAGGCAGGAGCCCAGGCCTCTGAGTTCCCAGCCAGACTCCCTCTACCACTGCCTGTCCCTGGCCAACAGACAGCATGACTCTGCTCTCACTGGGAACACACACACTCATGTAAGCGCACATTCACTCTGTCCCCTCATGAAAGAGGCATCCTCCAGACACACCCATTTAGCTGCTGGAATGGTGACACTTATTTGCATGAGGTGGCAGCTGTACACATGACAAAAGAATGTAGCCCAAGTTTTAAGAGCAAAGCATAAGTAATTAGCAGGGAGAGAATGTACACACCTACCACCTGGAGTCTGGCCAGGATGGGCCATCATCCCACAGCCTTCAGGAGGCCAAGCAGGGAAGGGTGGTAAGCAATAAGGAGGGGTGGTGTGGGGGAGAGAGGGTGTGGGTGGGGCAGCAGGCAAAGGAGAGCTAGCAGGAAGGATGATGGAGTTAGTGACCCAGACTGGCAACCCATGTGGTCCCCCTTTATTCTTGATAGCACTTACACTGCAACCAGGAGCTGGGGACCAGACAGGGCGGGGTGGGGGAGTCAGGGATGGATCAGGGATTGGGCCATTTGGACCAGTGTGAACTGGATGGATGCATCTTTGCTTTTGGTCTCAGTTTAAGGAGAGTAACCAGCACCTCAGGCTCGCACAGCTCCCATCCAGTGAGGGCCTGAGGTCCTTCTGTGTAGGGGGGTAGGCCCTGGGGCTAGACTATTGCCTGATCCCCTCTACACACTCCAGTGTAAAATGAGCACTGCTCACTTCTGCCCCACGCCTCCAAATGCGCCTGGAGAGACATACTGCCCCATCTTCTCCCAGAAACACATACAAGAAGTGCCCTGCCCCAAGTCCAACCTGCAATTCTGCAGGAGCTTTCCAAGGCTCCTGCAGAGCCCTGCAGAATCCACTCCTCCCTTTACCAAGCCTTAGTCTGGGGCCCGCCAGCCCCTCCTCTGTGTCACAGCCCTCCAACTCCAGCCTGGGTCAGCCTCCAGCCCTGGCCCCAGCCTGCCGCCGGTCCAGAGCCAGCTGGAGGGCATGCCTCAGGCTCTCTGCGTTGTTCAGAACGTTGTATCGACTCAGGGCCACCAGCCGATCAAACTCCTCAGGCTCATAGGTGAAGTTCATCATGCCATAGGGGGTGTCTGGCCCATTGATAGCAAAGTCCCCACAGGCCTTCTCCTCAGCTGTTTGTCGCTCCACACCTGTGGGTGGGAAGTAGAGGAGAGACCAGGCTGGGGTACTCTGCGGCTAGGAGCTGCCAGCCCAGAAGCCCCCGCTTGCCCTAGGACATCTGGACGGTTCTTTGTGGGCCCTGCCTGGGGCCCACATCTCTGCTGTCTTGTCCATGAGGAGGTGCTGGGCCAGTGCCAGTGCTGAAGTCCAGGAAGCAGAGGGCAACAGTGGCCAGCTTGGGCCCTCCATGAGGCATGCTTTGCTACCTTGTCCAAGGGATCCACTCTCAGAACAGTATTCCATCACCACCCCAGGGCTCTGTGGGCCAGGCCCAGGGCTTCCCCTCACCTGGGGCCAGGTGTGTACGGAAGGTACAGTTGACAAGGGGGAAGTGCAGCACGATGGGTGAGTGAGGATCCTCAGCCCTGGCAAACAGGTAGCACTCACGGGGTTCCTCCAGGTCCTCAGGGAGCACCTCAATCCTGGGAAAGGGGATGCCTCGGTCCAGGCAGTACTTCTCTGTCATCTGTAAGACCTGGGCAGGGAGGCAGACTTCTGACCCCGCGTGCCCCCCACCTGGACTCACACTGGCCCAGGCTTTGAGGTCAGCTCTGCCTCCTACTAACTGAGTGATTTCAGGCAGGTGACATCCCCTTTCTGAGCCAGTTCCTTCATATATAAAATAAAAATGAGACTAACTCTGGCTGTGCAGACAAACAATAATCACCAGCATTCTCACCATGATTCCTGCTCCACAAATTCCCACTGCGTCCCTTTTCTGATGCTTCCCCGCTCCCTCCTAGAGGGCTGACTTCTATTTCACAAGGTTGAAACCAAATGATTACCAATGGTCACGTTGGAAAAGGCTTTGTCCATCATCTAATCCCAAGCTCTCACTAGACCCAGGAGGAGGAGGAGAGGTCAACGAGGGAAAAGCTGGCCCAACAACACAATCGGAGCCCCCATCTGCATGGTGGAACCTGTCTACCACCCCACAGGTTATGAGACAGCCACTGTGAGAGACTGCCTGAGGGGACCCTCATAGCTCTGTTGTTATCATAGGAATGAAGGGACAGCAGACCCAGACCGAGGCCCTGCTGGGAGCAAAGAATGTTATCAGGAACAGGCAGGGTCTAGAACAGGGGTCTTCTCTTCACCAGGATAGAAGACGCCTGAGGACCCTCTTTGGCCCCCTTTCCCAAATCCCACTCCCTCCCATAACCTCAGCAATCCTCTCCTCCAACCGGGAGACCAGTGCTGCTCACAGTCAGCAGAAGGCATCACCCACAGATTAGAACCCAGGCCCTCCGTGCAGGGTCATCCCCACACACCCAGCCAGGGCGCCTCAGTGGAGAACCCCCACCCCTTACCTCAAAAGGGGCATCCAGGGAGTAGTCAAAGGACACAATGAGGTCCACCGCTCTCTGTGGTAGCAGGCTCAGCGGGAACGGAGAATTGATAGCAAAGCCGCCATCCACCAGGTACAGGCAGTCCCTCATGGGAGTGAGCTGGTTGGGGCAGGCGTCCGGGTGTGTGTCTGCAACAGGAACAAATGTTTGTTCTTCTTAGCAGCCTCTTCCCTTTGCACTGGAAATGCCCCTCTCTGCAGAGCTCTCTGCTTCTTTCCCTCTCTCACAGCCACTCTGGGGTCTCCCACCCCAGCCCCAGCCCAGCACAGTTATCCCCTCATCAGCCTCTGGGCAACAGGAGTTTACACCCCAACTCCCGGGTCAAAAGACAGCACTGGTCCCCATGAGCCAGAGGCACAGACAGCAGGAGAGCCCCACCCAGAGCAGCACCCACCTTTCCAGGCCACGAACTCCCTGCCAGCCACATAATCCTTGTGCAGGCAGAGGCCCTGGGTGAAGTTAAAGTTCTCCGCAGAGGTAAAGCGGGAGGTGAATAAGTTCAGCACAGCCTGGGAGAAGGGCCCCTGGGGGGTGAAGAGCCTGGTTCGCAGCCTTGTGGGGTCATGCAGCTGGAGCTTCTGGCAGTCATCTAGTGAAGATAGGACAGTGAAATACAGGGAGAAGTGGTGCCATCCTGTGTTCAGTAGCCTTTATGGCTCCGGGGAGTCCCCTCCATCTTCTCCCTACACCCTATCTCGTCCCCCACACTGCCTCTCAGGCTTCTGACCACTACTTCCCAGAACCCCTTTAAAATGACTTTTTTTTCCACATTCCCCATATTTTGAAAGTTGCCTGTGATATTGCATTTATTAATAATATCACCCACCCTTAAAATTGTATATATAAGTTCCAATCAGAATTTTATCCACTGAACACCTACTGAGCAGCTGCTACGTGCTGGGCACTGTGTTGGGCATGAGGGATGCAAAGGTGACTAGGACCCGGCCCTGACCCTCAGGGGAGAATCACAGAAAGAGAGAATGACTTGGTAACAATGCCCAGAGGTCAGAACAGTGACCGATGTGATGTGCCTGTGGTCTTACAAGGACCTGGGTGGTTAGACCCTCGATCGCCCTGAGAGATGGAGTGGGACAGAGAAGCTTCCTGATAAAATGATGTCTCAGCTGAATCTTAAGAGCTGAGCAAAAGTAATCCAGGGCAGAAAGGTGGGGAAGGTATTCCTTGCAGCAGGGTGCTCATAGGCCATTTAAGGAGCAGGCCGAAGAGGAGGCCTCAGGTGTGTGGACAGAGTATCATCCAGATGCCCAGTGGTCCTGGGCTGAGAGACCAAGCAGAGAATTCAAAGTTGTAGCCTGATCACAGAGCACTCACAGCTCCCACTGGGTTTTCTGACGTGGGCCCTCACCCAGTCCCCTACCCACACTGCATCTACAGCAGCGGTTCTCAACCTTCCTAATGCCGTGACCCCTTAATACAGTTCCTCATGTTGTGGTGACCCCCAACCATAAAATTATTTTCGTTGCTACTCTATAACTGTAGTTTTGCTACTGTTATGAATCGTAATGTAAATATCCTTTTGTTTTCCGATGGTCTTAGGCGACCCCTGTGAAAGGGTCGTTTGACCCCCAAATGGGTCGCGACCCACAGGTTGAGAACCGCTGCTCTACAGGGAAGTCATTTCCTCAGCATGTCTGAACCCAGTGGTACAGCCAAGTCCTTCACTGTCCCCTCCCTCATTCTCCATGCCTCTGCCAGGGCCCTATTGCTGGAAGGAGGCATGGGGGTGGGGGGGGTCAGGGTCTGCACCCTCACCTGTGATGTTCACACTGCCTCGGTGCCAGTCCAGGAAGCCGAGGCTGGAGCCGGCGGTCTTCAGGCAGATCTCGTCCAGGCTGGCTGCAAAGGCGCTGCCCCACACACCTAAGGAGACAGGCCAGGCCCGGGCTCTCACAACTCCTGCATCCACATCAGGGCCTGCCCCTGCATCTTCCCTGTCCCCAGCCATCCAGCCTACACTCACCCTGCAGGTAGCAGAGCCGGGGCTCTGGCCAGAGCTTCAGCAGTCGTCCCATGAAGAACTCGGAGCCAAAGAGCTTGGTGGGAACATAAGCCCCATACTTGGGGAAGCCAACCTCATGGGGGGTGAACTCGCACCACTCTAGGGACCCAGAGTAAAGGAAATGTCACCAGGGGCTTTCCCACCAGGACCCCAGGGTTCTCCTGGCCCTTGCCAAGAACAGGAGGCAGCAACCCCAGTGTGCTCCAAGGCTCCCATCTGGACCCTCACAGTCTGGCCTCTTACACCCTCCACCAACCATTGCCTCCACCTGCTTCCTAGGTCCACACACTCAGACACCTGCAAAGTCTTCCCCACTGATGTTGGTGTGGACGTTGACGCTGGAGTAGATAGGGTAAGGGTTTTGGCCCTGGCTGACTGCCTCCTGCTGGTCAGACAGCTTGGCAGGGTTTTCCTGGACAGGAAAGAAGGGGAGACATTTGGCCTCGTGGGAGTTCCCTTTTCCCATCCCCATGGTGTGAGGCAGGCACTCTATGGGGTGTGTTTGGGCCCACAAGAGACAGTGGTTGCCAAGGCCAAGGCTCAAGAGACATCTCTCTAAGGCAGCAGTTCTCAACCTGTGGGTCGCGACCCCTTTGGGGGTTGAACAACCCTTTCACAGGGGTCGCCTAAGACCATCGGAAAACAAAAAGGTATTTACATTACGATTCATAACAGTAGCAAAATTACAGTTATAGAGTAGCAACGAAAATAATTTTATGGTTGGGGGTCACCACAACACGAGGAACTGTATTCAGGGGTCGCTGCATTAGGAAGGTTGAGAACCACTGATCTAAGGGATGGGCTTTTCCTCAGCTCTGAATCTCATCTCCCAGCCAATGCTGGGCCTGCAGGTCTAGGAGCAGCCACCAGGTGGCGTGAGTCATGGCCGTTGGCCAACGGGCGGGAGTGGTGTTCTGCCTCAGCGGCAGGTTGGAATCCCTTGGAACACTTGCAAAACACACCTGTGCTAGTGCTCAACCCTAGACTAACCAAAACAGTATCTCTGGAAGTAGGGCCTAGGCATGGGGTGTTTTTGAAAAGCTGCACAGTTGATTCCAAAATGCAGACAAACCTGAGAACTACAAAAAAAGCCTTTCTCTCCCCAGGGCTTAGGAGTCAGGAAAGATGGAGTGTCAGACCCCCACCTCCACTTCCCCTCCCAGGTTGCTCAGACCTAAGGTAAAGCTTTGCAAATCTCAGATCTTAGTCTAGCAGCTAAGGCAGAACTAAGTGCTGGTGGTGCAAGGGTGGAAAGGAGCCATGTTTATTTGTTACCTGCTCTTCTCTTACCTCCTGGTGCAGGAAATATTCAATGAGGAGGCCCCACAGGTCGATGAGGGAAACATTGTGGCCGCTGCTTTCCAGGTTCCCCAGTTCCTGGGCATAGTACTGTAGGCGCTCCTTGGACACTGCCCCCATCTTATTGCTGCAGACCCGAGCCCGGGCACGCTCAGTGGGGCCCTGCAAAGCCACCTGGGACCAGGCTGCGTCCTGGTAGATTGTGGAGATGCACCTGGGCATGGAGGGAATTGGGGGCAGTTAAGGGCAGGGGAGCACAGCAAAGGGAGAAAAGGATGCAGGTGTCTGTGAGTGACCCCTCCTCCTCCATCACTTGTGTCCTGCACCACCTACTCAGGGGATCCCTGGAGTCTCAGTCCCTTCCTGAACCCCTCCTAACCCCCTCGGAGGCAGGCTCCTCCCCCACACACCAGGGACTCCACCAGATCACCAGGTCACACCCCCGTCCATTCAGGGCACTATTTTACTCTGCACCCTGCCCCCACCTCACTTACCAACTGGACCCAGAGACCCCACTCAAGTAGGTCACAGTATCCAGGAGTCCCAGCTCCTGCAGCCCTGCCAGGCTGCCGTACAGGGAAGACATGGCACGGGCTCCACCTCCCGAACCCAGCACAGCCACCACAGGTACCTGGGCACAGTAATAATCATAACAACATCTACTGCCACTGTCATTTATATATTATTGCTTACAATGTCAGAGATTGAGCTAAGAGCCTTACGTGGATTGTCTCATTGAATCCTCACAGCGACCCATTTTACAGATGAGGGAACTGAGGAAGGTTAGATAATGTGACCTCAATCATACAGTGAGTAAGTGATAGGCTAGCAATTGGAAGCAGCATGGCTCCAGAGATGGCTCTTAATCATTATACCAGGAAAGGATGTACCTGCAAGGTATATTGGATTCACCCAAAACAGCGAAAGCAGGGTTTCTCAATCTTGGCACCATTGATAATTTTAGACTGGATAATTCTCTGTCATGAAGGGTTGTCCTGTGTGTTCTAGGATGTTTAACAACATTCCTGGCCTTTACCCAATAGATGCCAGCAGCATCCCTCTCCCCTTCCCCCAGTCATGACAATAAAACACATCTCTAGATGTTGACAAATGTCCCCTGGTAAAATTATCCCTAGTTGAGAACCACTGAGCTAAAATAACGAAGACCGCTGAGCAACCTGGACCTGTCCATGACATGAGAGGTGCCCAGATATCTCTAAGATCAGAGGTGTCTGGGGGGATGAGACTAGAAGGTTTTTGGCTACTCAGCTTTTCCATGATGGTTTTGCTTATTTCACCCAGATCTTTGGTGCGTTTCCCTGTCCTCCTTTCATCTATCTTGAAAAAAATGTTCCCTGGCCACTGTCCAGCAAGGGCACTGTCCCTTCAGCGTGGAGGCAGAGCTCCCAGTAGGTGGGGTGTGTGCTCTTTACTCTCCACATACAGAGCAGAGGTGGGCACAGAGTAGGCATCTCCCAAACAATCTAAGCTTGCTAAGCTTGTCAGCCCAGGGCACAGGCTCCATCTCCTGAGTACACCTGCAGCCAGCAGGAAGCCACCAACTTGTTCCTGATTTACCATAGGTCTCGCCCTCAGCACTGCCTTTCCTCCTGCGTCCCAGCCACAGGGTCCCGGGGACCCACCACTTCCAAATCCCTTTGTCTACTGCTATGAACTGAATTATGTCCTTCCCAAATTCACAGGTTGAAACCCCAATGTGACTGTTGAGGAAAGAAGGTAAAATTAATGGTTCTCTTCTCAGCCTTACTGGTAAATTATTAACAGAACCTGAAGCTTGAGGAAACACAATAAATATAACGTTGACATTTAAACTTTTAAACTTTCCCATAACTCTCTAGTCCTGCATTAGATATTATATAGATTATCATCAGTATAGTACATGTCGGTACATATACTCCAGTTAAGCGTATGACCTCCTCAAAGAAAACTGTGCAGAATGCCTGACGCCCCACTTGACAACTACCTGAAATCTATCATCATCATTATTGATACTAGTTTACTCATCATAATGGACCAATCAAATAGCTAAGAATGCAGGGCTCCTTTCTCTCTTGTAATTCAGTTGCATCATACAAGCGAATGATTTTTCTTTGTTCCTCGGAACATTTCTAGATTTATTCCTAGTTACGTTTCCAGCTTGCACACTCTAAGGCCCTTGAATAAATCTGTCATTTATTTGTAGCCAGAGCTTCCTGGCTCTTTTTTATTATGATTGATACTATATTTGGAGAAAGGGCCTATAAGGAGGTAATATAGGGTATGTAAGGTCATAAGGGTGGGGCCTTAATCTAGTAGGGCTGGTGTCCTTGTAAGAGGAAGAAAGAGAGATCCCCCCACACCTCTTGCACACGTACAGAGGAAAGGCCATGCGAGGACAGCAAAAAAGGTGGCCATCTACAAGTCAGGAAGAGAAACCAACCCTGATAGCACCTTGATCTTGAACTTCCAGCCTCCAGGTGAGAAAATAAATATCTGTTGTTTAAGCCCCCCAGTCTGTAGTGTGTTCTGTTATGGCAGGCTGAGCTGACTAATTCACCCGCTATGGTCAAGGCTGTTCAGCCCTCGTTACATACGGGGTCCTGACTCTTACAACTGTGCCCATCAGCTCAGGCGAACAGGCCTGCCCACTTCCTCCTCTGCTCCCCATGCTTCCTCTAGACTTCCTATCACCTCTTAACCACACAGTCCTCTCAAGGGAAGAGGCTGGATTTGGTCCCAGCGGTGCTGGGGTCTGGCTCCTCCATTCCATACCTGGCCACTGTCGGGAGCCTGGCTCAATCCCAGCACCTGCTGCAGAGCCTTGGACACGATCTTCTTCCGCTTGTCCAGAAACTTCCATTCCTCATCACAGAGATCAAAGCCAAGGCGCAGGTCAAGGTCCCCAGAGCTGCCTCGGGTGGAATAGGGGCGGGGTGGTGGATGACTGTTCAGTGGAGGAGAGCCTCAGGCCAAGCCAATTTTTCACAGAAGCAGACCCGCACTCTATAGAGCCCCTCAAAGATTCTACCAGAATCAGACCTGCCCATCCCTTGGATGAGTGGAGTAGGCAGGAAAGCCCCTCCACTGCCAGCCTAGCCCAAGAGTCCTCCTGAAGTGAGCCCTCCTCACCTTATTTCTGCCTTCACATTCAGAGCCACCTCCTGGCCCTGAAAGAGACAACAGCCCATCCCTGAGGATCCTGGGTTAGATTCTCCCAGCAGCAGCCCCTGTTGCTCCAGTAACTCTGGTCCAGATGTGGACAATGGCTGAGTTCCAGGATGGTCTGATCTTGATCCCCTCTCAGGCCCCTCCCTCAGAACTTTTTTGGTGATCACAAAGCAGGCAGGGCTCCCTCAGGCACTCAGACAGAGCCTTACCTCCCCCATGGCCACGAAGCGCTGTTCCTCCTGGCCTGGGGTCAGGGAGGAGAGCAGGATAGCCCCCTCTCCCAGCTTGCTGCTCTGGGACTCCAACTCAGCACTTGGGCTGCTCTGCAGGGAAGAAAACACCACGGAGCCCCTTAGAGTGGAGGGACTGTGCCTGTACTGAGGTCCTGGACCACTGCTAGAGCCAGACTGATTCTATCATCTGCCGTTTCCAGGTTGTGGGCTCACTTACCTGCAGGACTGTGAGCTTCTCCTCCAGCACCACTTCCAGGCTGGAGCGCAGCACTGGATTCACGTGGAAGGTAAAGGTGGCTGGGGGGCCTGCCTCCATGGGAGGCTGCAGGGGCAAGAGCAGTGGCTTCTCGTAGGCCCTGGGCACTGCCAGCTGAATCTGCCTAGAGCCTGGGAGCAGAGGGCCCAGATGAGTGCGCAGGTGAGAGCAGGTGGGGTGTGTGCGTCATGGTAGCACACTCAGTAAGGGTTCTCCTTTCCTTCCCCTTGGAAATGCCAGCTCATCACCCTGCTCACTCTCTGGCACTGAGACCCATAACAAAGGCATCATGAAGGACACTCAGGGTCTTGTAACCTGTCCTGGTCAGAACTGAGGACCTGGGAAAAGTGGGGAACACACACTACCTTAGGGAAGGGGGAAAGACAGGGAGAAGGAGGGCCCCTGGCCCAGAGTTTATGGAGCTGATGATTTTGAGATTATATAATATAAAATATAATTCTATGAGATTAGGCTATAATTATCATATATTAATTACTACATTAATTACCAGTTTTCACCTGGTAGTTCCCCCACCTTTTGTCCCCATTCAAGCTCTGTGCTCACCCCCTCAGGGAGGTTTGTGACTAGGTTGCAGGTTGTTCTCGCCTTTGTGTCCAACCTGCAAGACCTTGGGAGAACGCAGAGGGCTTGCAGAGGAGTTCAAGGGAAGAAGTGGGTTTGTGGGCTCAGAGAGAATAGGTGGCTTGGAGAAGCAGGGGAGAGCCAGCCTGGCTAGAAGGGGAGGCCAGGCTGGGAGGAGGGGCAGAGCAAGGCCTGTGGCCCAGGAGCAGCACTCAGGGGAGCTGGTAGAGGAGACCCCAGACACCTCAGGAGCAGAGGCGTCCAAATGGAATTCCTTCTCTCTCTACACATGCTCCTTGCACTAAATGAGACCTGGGGACTTGACATGACCCTGGGGGAGGAATTAGAAAAAATAAAGTAATGCTTCTTTCACACCATGGTTTATGGACTAAGGTTACTAGGCGCTGTTCACAGTCAGAAACAACTGAATCTGTGGTGGAGAGAGCAGGTGCCCCGGAGTGTTGCAGACCTGTGTTTGGTCCTGGCTCCACCACTTACTGGCTGTGTGACCTTAAGCCAATTTCTTCTTTAAGCTTCAGTCTCATAAATTAAAGTACCTAATTGACAGGGTTGTTATGAGGATTAAATGATAAAACACACGTCAGATGCTTAGCATAGTTGCCTGGCTCATAGTAAGTGCTTGATGTCGCCTGGGCGGGACTCATCCTGTAGGCTCAGCCTCTCTCTCATTGTTGGAGGGGACTTTAGCTGTCACACAGCCTCTGCTCCACTCCTGTGTCTGGGTGCCCCTTCTGAGTGGCTGCCCTCTGTGCAGATGCATTGGTGTGCTCAGTTTCCCAGTCTCCTAGAATTCTCACTCTCTGCCATGGGACTTTAGTTCCTCCCACTAAAAGGCTGGCTAAATGTCCTGCCCTCCAACTTTAGGGTCAGCCTTGGGACAAAACATTAGTGGCTGTGTGATGCGACCAAAGGCTTGACAAGCACTTGGGCTTGCACTTGTGCCCCTCTGCTGATGCCCTAAGAGCATATCCAGGCTAGTCCATGGGTCACAGAAGGTGGATGAGGAAGGGGCACACATCGCAGAGCCAAGTCACTCCGGCCAAGCCCAGCCTAGATCAGCCACGCCCCAGCTGACCACCAGATGTGAGAGCTAAATAAATGCTTCCTGTTGTCTGCCACTGAGACTTGGGGGTGTTGTTTATAGAGCAGTAGTTGGACTGATACAACCTCTATGTTTGAATACTTCCAGGGATAAGAAATTCGCTACTTTCAGAGGCAATCTGTTCTATCCTTGATCAGCTTTAAGCAGTGAAAAATGAAGAACTTTCTGTCCCAGACCCATCTTCTTAAAATCAGCAGCCCCCAACCCCCTAGGAGAGAAGGGAAGACCCAAGGCTACTGGCCAAACTCACCATACTCTCGATGTAGGGCTGTCTCATCTCCCTCAAGAGTGCCCTGGATTCTCAGACAGGGATAAGCCTGGAAAACAGAGGCCCGTGGGAGCCACAGTCATAGAGCCCTGCACAGGGCCCAAAACAGGAGGGAGGAAAGAAGGGGTATCTGGGGCAGGGTCCGGATAACAGCCTTCCCAGGGCCCATGCCTTATACACAGGGATCTTCTGTAGCTGCCCTCACTCCCAGGACTCAGAAGAACTGGCCCCTGATGAAAAGGGGGAGGAAGTAAGGGGTCCTGAGAATGGCTCCTTCGGCAGTCTCAGAAGCCAGGGTCCCAAATGAGTGATGTGCTGTGCACAGGAAGGCTGGCTCCTGGGCTATTCACGCAGGTGTGAGGCCTCCCCCAGCACATCTCCACTCCGAGGAGGGGTTGAGTGTCCTTCAGAGGCAAGTAGGTGTGATGGGCTCAGTTGTGGATTCCTCATTGCCCCCCCAGCCCTGGACAACCCCAAGCTGGCCTTCACTACTTACCACCAGGACACCATTGGTGATAACTTCAGATGCAGGCACCTGGCTGCAAATGATGAGGGGCTCATTGGATATCTGGGCCCCTCAAAGTCGCTGTTACTATAAAAATGTGACCAAAGCAGTTGGAAGAGCCTGTGGAGCCTGACAGGGTTTGGAGATAGGGGTGAGTATGGGCCAACACTCAAATGGGCATCAAGCCAAGGACATCCCCTCTCAGGCCAGGCCAGCGCAGGTCCTGGTGACTGACAACTGGGAGCTGTCCATGAGTTTCAGAGTAACTGGGAGGGCATTGGCTCCACCTGGACTCACCTCTTCTCCAGAACAAACTCCACCTGTAGCTCTTGTGAATCCTACATGGAAGGAGCAAGGGGACACCAGTTTTCAAAGAGCTCCGGAAGCCTCAGAGACTGTCCCTGACCCCAGCCCCGCTCAGCTCCAGGGACCAGAAGAGGAGACTGTTGTGGCTTCTCATGGGCACAGGAGGGGTAGTGGCATCTCCATTCAAAACCATGTGCGGACACCTGTTCTAGACACTGAGGACTTAGCAATGACCGAGACAAAGTCCTCTGCCCTCAAGGAGCGCACATGTCGGTTCCACACAGAGAAGTATTTGAGGGACACCTTGGTAGCGTCAGTGGTGCAGGATGGAGAGTCTGTCTTGCAGGCCTGGTCTGTGCTGACCAGGAGCCCCCTCAGTGTCCTGTGCTGGACCTCCTCTCCTTGAGCTCGGCTCATTGCTGGCACAGGTGGGGGCGGCTCACCTGTTGGTTGAGTGGGAAGGTGTGTCTGTGGGGTTGGCCGGGCTTGAGGCTGTTCAGGTCAAACAGCAGCAGGGAGAGCTCATTGCTGCTCAGGACATCCTTGTCATACAGCGTGAGCTCCAGGACGTTCTGTAGACAGGGCGGGCAGGAGGTGAGAGCCTGAGGCAGGGCAGGCACCCTGGAGGAGCCCTTTTCCTCCGCCACCAGGGCCACTCGCTGGGCCTCACCTTCACAGCACTATGAATCTGGTAGTGGAAGGTCTCGTTCCATTCGGGGTCACTGCAGTTGGCCACCACCCTTGTCTGGGCATGTCTGGGGGATGCCGTGGGCAGCCACAGTTGCACATAGCAGTCAGCTTTGGACACTGCAGGTAGGATAGGGGAGGGGTCCTAGCTTTAAGCTCTTATTGTAGGTTGTCTAGAGGAGGCTGGGGTGGGCGGGGAAGGAGCAGAGGCAGGAGAGGAGGCTGCCAGCATGGCCGGGTCGGGTGGGGAGACGGAGGGAGAGCCTTTGTCCTTGACTTCATCTGCACCAATTACACCCCCCATTCAACTGCATGGAAATCCTGCAGTGGTCAGTTGACAAGATCACATGGAAGCACAGACCACTAATTCCCAGAAAAGGCCTGATTCCAGTGACAAACTCCCCTCCCAGTGTCAGCATTGGCACGGAGAGTTCCTGGGTTGCAGACATTGACTTCCGGCAACAGCAGGCCTCACACGCTCTCCAGGCTGGCACTGCTCCACTTGGTAGACTCAGGGAGGCGTTGGGGTCTGCACAGTGCTCCCCTTCAGCCCCTGCCTGCCAGCTCTGGGGCTGCAGCCTGGGCTCCCTCACCAGGAAGGTCTCCTTCCATAGTCATCACCGGCTCCTCTACCCAATTCTAAATTCACACACACACACACACACACACACACACACACACACACACTCTCACACTTCAGGCCAGTCCCCCCCGCTGAGCTCTGTGGAGGCCCCAGGGAAAGGAAGGGGAGAAAGGGTGGAACTGAGGGTCACTCACACAGGTCTGTACCCTGGATATTTCTGGCCCTCAGCACCTTCACCTGGAGGTCATAGTATGTGTGGGTTTCCACCTGAAACAACAGAACTCCGGGAACTCAGTTCTAGGGAGCCCAGGTGTGGGGCCTGATCTCCCCGCAGTGATGCCCGACTCAGGTTTCCCTCGTCTCATCATGGAGCAGCAGCCAGGGGCACAGGTGTTGCTGTGCCTGGGATTTGGGAGGCCTTGGTGTTGGGAGCTCAGTATGTTGGTAATGAGCCTGAACCTTAGAATCAGTCAGGCGGGCTTCAGATCTAAGCTCCACCATGGGCTTGCTGAGCGGCCTTGGATAAATTCCTCGATTTCCATATGCTTCAGTCTGTCCATCTATAAAATGGGAGTTATGATGATAATCTCGGGGTTGTGGCGAGTTTTCAATGAGAAGCCATATAAAGGGCCTGGCCTAAGTGCTTAATACACATACCCATTTTTACTAATTATGGTTATCATGCACCATAAATTTACACTCCCCTCAGACCACAGTGCCGCTGCTGTAGCTTGATAGCTGATGTGCTTAAGGAGATTAAATATTAGAAGCGAAAGCTTGATCAACCCGACCCACTTGCTCCCCAACAAAGCCTAGATGGCCTAGGAGGGTGCAGGCAGGTGAAGGGAAACCAAGCGTCACCCAGCTTGTACTGGTTTGACTAGTGGCTAAGGGGACTGCAGCTTGGGCTCTCTGACTGCAGGCTCCCAGGAGTGAGACTATACCCTCAGAACCCCACAGCCAGGCTAGGGCATTCTGTGTAAAACCTAGCCAGCGGCAAGTGTCACATGATCTTGTCCTCCATTTCTAATCGGGGGGATTATTCTCAAGAGCCAAGGTTTTAACCAACCTCTCTAATTTAAGCTCCACTAGGAGCTAAAATTGACTGGAGCAAATTAGCCCCACCCCAGATCAAAATCCAGTCCCCGCTCCACCCCAGGCTGGCCTGTTGTCACAGGGGCCCGTGCTCCTAGGACCCCTCCAGTTCACACTTCCCAGGAAAGATCAGGTACTTTACCCGCCAGTGACTCCATGGAAGGCCCCTCTTCTCTCTCTTCCGCAGCAGCACTGCCCCCAGGAGGGGCAGCCCCTTGCCTGCCAGCCACTTTGGCCAGAGTGCCCTGAGCATGGCCAAGCAGCCTGCTTTCCAGAGCCACGCTGCTCTCTCTGGCAACACTCACTGCTAGCTCAGGTAGGACAGGTAGCAGGGGTGGGGCGGGTGGAGCTGGATCTCTGCTGAGGACAAAGGGCCTGGGGGCCCTTGAGGCTGAAGGTGGGGTTTTACAGGCTCCAGGAAGTGACTGGAGCCCAAGTTCCTCAGGCAGGAGGCCCTTCAGGCCCTCTGGCTCCCAGTCCCAGCCCCTGGTTACCATTGCGCTGCTTATGGAAAATAGATGCCTTAGCCTCACCCCTCAGGAGGATTTGATTTAGTGAGGGTGGGTAGAACCCCAAGCCTTCTAGACAATGCTGACAGCTGGCCCAGTCTTCTTCAGCTTTCCCAAAAGCCTAAAACCAATGCCTTACACAAGTTCTGCCTTCCCCACAGCTCTGAAGCAGAAACACGGAAATCTCTGGTTCTGTGTTTGATCTGGGCTCAAAGGTGTTTCTAATCTCTCCTGACCTCCCTCCCCTCCCTTGTTCTACAAACACAGAGGCTGCCACGGTGCAGGACCTGCCTCAGGCCTTGGAACCAAAGATAAGGTAGGCCCACCTGTATCCTGAAGGAATTCATAGCCTCATGACCCCCTGTGGCTTCTGCCTAGGCCCTCTTCCTGGATCAGTGGAAATACCTGGATGGTCCAAGTATAGAAGAAGGGATATGGTCAGGTGGTATCAATAAGGACAGGTAAAAAGCAGATCTGTCGGGTTTTAGGCTCCTAGAGATACAGGTTTTAAAGTCCTCTGTTGACCATATAAGCCTTAGGCTGAAGATGGTATGTGATGTCTCCTTTTCTGTGGACCGTGACCATCTAGGTGGCCAAGACAGGTATAGTCTCCAGAAGAAAGCATCTCTGGGACAGTGAGCTGTTGGGGGACACATTTTTGTTTCTCAGCCAAGACTCAGTCATTTCCACTCTCCTCCCCAGGAACCGAGATGGAGACTGAAAAAACAACATGCAAAAAAGAGGTGATTCAACTTCAAAATGAACCCTGTAGGCAAGTTCAGACCAAAAACTCCCAGAACAAAATATGACTGCCCTTGGCCAGATCCCAAAGGGAGGGCCCGTTTCTACTTAATTTGGAGCATGAAGCCAAGACCCGTGCTGGAGTCTCAAAAAGGCCACAGTGCAACCCCCTTAGTGACCTGCAGTGTATAGAAGACCCACGAACCCACAGCAGAGGAGCCTGAGGGAGGGGCACGAGTTAGCTGGCGGGGCGTACAGATACCTGATTTGAGTGCTTTCTGGGCTGTACCACACTCTCTCCTGGAAGTCACCTGCCCATGCCTCAGTCAAGTTATGCCTCTTAGTTTCAGATGTTTTTCATTCCCAGAGGAAGGTCGGGTGGCCACAGATGGCTCAAGTGGGGGATACAGGACCAAATGACCGTTGGGAGCTGGCCAAAGTGGACCGCCACTTCTCAAACATCCCTGGGTCTGTCAGTCCTACCAGTTCCACACCTTCTGTGTCCCTCCCAGTTATTATGAGCTGCAGGAAGAGGCACGAGGCCCTGGGATCAGCCAGAGTTCCAGTGTGTCCAGAACTTTGTGAGGCTGGGAATGTTCTCTCCCTGTGCCGTCAATACATCAGCCACACTACCTGTGTCGGACGGCACAGATCGAAACATACATAACAGATGTGTTATACTGATTTTTTTTTTTGTGGTCACTAATTGGCTTAACCTTTCTCAATTCTTAGCGAAATTACGGTCCTCTCATTATTTTCATCAAACTCCACAGGAAGGGGGAAAGAAGAGACCCAAATAGACCTGGTTTCTTACTTTATGATGTTTATTATGAGAACTCTTCATCAGTCCTCATTACAGGCTTTCATCTCCAGCCTTCTCCATACCACCGCGGAGGGCAAAGATCGTTTAGGGAAGGAAGACTACAGTTCAGGAAAACTGGGTCAGTTATGTATTCCAGAAGGGGAAGAAAACACACATTCTTTATTCTACTGCTTCAAACAGATGTGCCACACAGGTAGTGAGAGTGGAAGATACAAACACAGCAGGCCAGGAAGGTGGGGCTGGCGTGGTGGAGCAAGTTTCTGCTGCACAGTGGACAGCTGGCCTGATGATTTCACTGCTGCTGCCAGAGGGGGCCTGGTCAGAGCTGGCGCAACCAGGGTCAAGGGCAGCACTGCTTCTCATGGCTGAGTGTGGCCCATTGGGACAGTGGCTCTTGCGAAGCACGGCTTGGCCTCCAAACCCTGAGCAGAATCCCGTCTCTGTGAACAGGTGCTGATGGCACTCCTTCCGCCCCTCGAGAGCCTCCACAGACAGCGTGCCTGGGAGAAGCAAGCTGGTCTGCAGCACAGGCCACAAACAGCATAGCGCTTTGGTTTAAGAAGTTTCACACCATGTCAAGGACAGGCCACCAGAACAGCATCAGCGTTAAGAACTGTCACTCACCCTCACCACCATTAAAGACACTGAGGCAACAAGACTGCGAGTCTGCAAAACCCCAGGGAGGAGAGGGTGCAGGGCTGCGCTCCCCGCGTGTCCTCAGCCTGCAGTGCTGGACACCCGACTGGGTGCCTCTGGGATGCCCTGTGAGAGGCAGGGTGTCCCTCACAACACACACAAGTGCTCAGTGGATCTGGCGGTAAAAGACAAACGTATTCCATAAACCCATGTGCTGCTGCTCCTGCTTCCTGGAGCACTCTTGCTGTCCCCAAGCACCTCACAAGCACGCGTGACATTGCGTCATTGTCAGTGCCTGATTTGATCATTCTGTGTACAGCAGAGAGCCACCTACCTACAACAAGCCAGCGCTAACCTCCAATCCTGCAGAACAAAGCTAGAGAACGATGGCCAGGCCAAGCTGTAAGGTAAGTGGATGACACTGGCCAGAAAGACAAAGGCGCCCCAAGCGCAATGCACTCACCCACAAAGACTAAAGCAGCCTGCCCCCGGCGGCTGGTGGGGGAAATGGGTGAACCAAGAGCAGGAGTCTCTGCAGACAACCGTCTTGGCGGTCACATACCTCGGCAGGTGCTGCCCATCCTTAGAGCTCCTGCCATATTCAGCCCCGAGGGGAGGGGCACAGGGGCTTTCCCAGGCCAGGAAAGACACTCTCCAAAGCTGCTAGGCACAGGGCATACAGTCCAAGGAGGATCTATTTACAGCGTACCTGACAGTCAATTATCAACGTACCCCTAGGAAACAGGACTTCCCCTTGCTTCTCACTTTGCCTTGTTTAAATATTATTCGTGGTGTCAGGAAAATGGGAAAGAAAGCCTGGGTGGAGCAGTGAGAGGAGAGAGATACAGGAAGACAATAGTGGGAAAGAAAAGGAGACTGGAAAATAAAGAGATGAGTGGGGAGGCTCCTGGGGGGACACAGGGTACTGTGGCCCTGGAGAAATGACCCTCGTTACCTAGAGAACCAGCGTTTAGCCTTTGCAGCTGGACGAGCTCTGGTAATTGCTCTCTTCTCACAGGCTTGTCGGCCATGCGGAGGGATCCTTGTGACGTCCTGCATGTGTCTTAATAGAAAACTGAATAAACAGCCCTGGGATTACAAAAGCTTCCTCAGTAGGCTGGAATGCAAAGGCAAGACGGTGCCCATCTCCAGCTCCTCCAGTCCAGACAGGCATTCGGTTCTCTGGAACTGCCTGCTACAATGTATATAAAGTACAGCAAGTCTCTTTTTCTGTTAAAAAGCCGGTGACACCAGACCACAGGTCTGATTAATTCAGAGATGTTCCAGGGCGCAAAGTAGCCAGTAGTGTCCAAATGGGGAGACAACTGGTGGTGGCAGCAGTCCCCGATTCCCAAGGCCGGTGCCCCTTGCCCTCTCTGGGATGGCTGAGCTGTCCATCTGCTGAATTCTGGGCATGCTGGGCTCAGGTGTCCGCCGGGTTTACCTCTTTGGAACAGAAGTAGTGCACGACCACTCCATTGGGGTATCTCGCAAACGCGCTGCAGGGAAGGCACACGACTGGAGTGAGGACTGCCCCTAAGAAAGCGCGTCTCACCTGGAAAAGGCACCTTACCCGGGAGCACCCTCACCACAAAGAGCAGCCTGCCCCTATGGTGTCTGGATTTACATAGCCACCATCTCTGTCCAATAACCAGGCAGAGGAGGAGGTCCACGCAGTTTGAGTGCATGGGGACACTTCCTGCTAAGTCATCAAGGTGAAATCCATGGGCAGCTGGGGCAGTCCGCCAGCCTGGCGCAGTACTGGCTTACTGAGAGCCAGCAGTGCTCCTCAGAACAGATCTCAGGCTAATTCTAACAAGGGACGGAGAGTTAGGTCTTTCTAATGAAAAGGATTCTTCCATGTAAGAAAAAAGACAAATCACTCTCCCCCGAGGGAAAGGGGACCAGCTAGCACATATGACCTAAAACAGTATGATTCTGGCTAAGGATTCTCCTCAAATTATGAGGCAGCAGGTTGAAATATTTTTTTGTTTCTTCAAAGGTGCATCCTTAAAAGATAAGGACTTTCTCCCACATACAGCTCTCCACACCCAGTGGCTACATGTGCAATTTCTAGCTGCCAGCGGGGAAGGGCTGGATGGGCAAGAAGTCAGCAGCCCCGTGCCATCCCTTTCAGGTCTTTAAAAGTCTCAGAGCCCACCCCAACAGATAACATGGACTGCTCTCTGGGGCCTCAAGAATGAATGGTGCCCAGGACAGTCAGCAAAGCATGCTTTCTGCTGGGGTTAAAGGTCAGACTTCCACCTGAGCACGACCCACCCCAGAGGAGACCCTGCAGAGCTGCAGAGGCTGCTTACCTGTTCCCGATCTTCTTCTTACACACCGTGCACACCTTCTCCTCTGTGATGATGCACTTCACCTGCTGGTGTAAAATCCGCTCTTCCTGGACCTAAGAGGGCAGAGGGATTGGGGGGGGGACGTCCCATGGCTGACTGGCAGAGATTCCCCTAATTAAAACAGTCACAACTAAATATCAAGTTGGTTAAAATTGTGTTCAAGGAACCAGAGCCTTGCCTTTGTTGAAAGGAGCATGTGGTAACTGTCTCACCCTAAAAAGTACCAGCCCACCCTGGGGTTTGCAAGGCTCATACCCGCAGGAACTCTGCATGGAGGAGATTCTTAAGCACTTGATTGAACCGTTTCTTTTGTGCATTTTCTTCCAAGACTTTTTCCAGAAAGATGCGTATATCATTAATCTGAGTGTTTGCTGGCAGGAGGTTGAGGGCCTATGGACAGGAACAGAGATGGGAACAGGGTGAGGCAGGACAGAAGTGAGGCTGAGGAAACGGCCGAAGCCACAGCGCTTGCAAACCCCAGTCCCTTTCTCCATCCCCTCTTCTCATTCAATGCTCCCTGCAAGTGCCCTCCATTTCCCTGAGAACTGACCTTGGTGGTGTCCAGTTTACTGTGATGCAGCTCGAGGACCTGCAGGGCGGCCTGGAGGTTGGCTTGTGGCTCCAGCAGTTCCAGCTTGATTGGCCCCAGGCAGTGAACACTGGGGGGCGACAGGTACATCCGGAGCAGGGACAGATACACCTGTCTCATACAGGTATAAGCCATGCACGTGAGGCTGGCGGCAACCCTCCCAGAGCCCCACAGCATGGCCACACCCAAAGCTAAGAGAGTGGGTCTACAGTAACATGACAGTAACAGCTGTCATGGGACATTTAAAACTCATCATTTTCATCTTTTAAATGATTTTGGTAAAGTCAGTCAACTGACGGTATTAAAAATTAAGGATTGCAGTTTTCCTGAGAGAAAAAAGCAAATGCCTTGTTATTTGTTAACTGCTGACAAAAATGCCAACACTGCAAAATGACTCAGAGCTCCCTCATTTCCTTTGTCTTTGAAGGCTGAAACCCTGCCACATGTTTTGAGAGGTGAGGATTAAGCCAAAACGAGACGCTGCATTTCCTACTGGTAGTACTATAGCGCGTCTCAGCCTCAGCACTCAACATTTTGGCCCAGATAATTCTCTGTGGGGGCTGTCCTGTGTATTGTTTCGCAGCAACTCTGGCCTCTACCTCCTAGATGCCAGGAGCACCCCCACCCCCAGTTATGGCAATCAAAGACGTCTTCGGAAATTGACAAATCCATGTGCAATCTAGACAGAGCACGTATGTGCACCTGCTCAGAACCATCAGATGTGCTTTCTCAATAGGCTGACCATGTCGTTTATTACACAAGGCAGGATTCTCTTGAGAGAGAGAGACAAGGGTGCTATTCATAATGACATGGATGACAACAGATGTAAGCCAGAACTTTCCCAAGCAAACCAGGACATATGGCCACTCTCCCTCTCCCTCAATATACACAGGCACGATCAATCATGCCCATGCCCTGTCCTGTCTTAGCCAATCGTTCATACCGGTGTCACCTGTGGCCTAACAGAGGGGGTTAGGAATGCCAAGGGGACAGAAATGCACATGTGCTCCTTGGGGCCAGGGCCACTACTTACATCTTTGTTGCCATCTTTGTTTTGGTCATAATGCTTGTGGCAGTACCTGCAAGGGAGACAATGGTGAGACAAGGCCAGAGAGAGGCAGGTCATCGGCGCTATCTGCACGGGCTACCTAATGATAACTGAAATCTGAGGCCAGCACAGGAGGCAATTTCGCTCCTGCTGCAGAGGGGAGGTGGCTGTCTTAGCCTCTCATGCCTCTCATGGGGGTCTGCTTTTAGGCCCCTTGGGAGGTGGGGTGACGGGGTCAACATACTCCTCAGCCATCTTTGTATCCTTCAGGATGTGGACATAGATGAAGAGAGCTTGCTCATGTTTCCCCATGCGTCCCAGCAGGAGGGCACGTTCTTCTAAGAGGCCTGTGAGGAAACAGGAATGGAAGTCACCATCACCACCATTTTGCAAGCACAAGGCCAGGGGCTAAGCTACTAGAGAAACGGATATTGGAGCAATAGAAACTGGGAGAAAATATTTTTATTACTTGAGATTTATTCAAGGGGAAAATTACTAAAATGTTAAAAGGGTGGAGGGAGCTGTTTTAGGAGGTACTTTATCCCATCTTTTTTGTGATTGCTTAAAATGGGGCATGAACACTCATTCAATAGCTAGGTGCACAGGAGGTGCCTACAGTGTGCCAGACACTTCAACTAAGGGACATAAACTCTTGGTCTCTGCTCTTGCTGAGCTTACACATCAGAGAGATTATGCCAGAATACAAAAATTGCTAAATAATAAATGTGGCCAAGAACATGAACTGAGACAATAAACAGGTTTAAACCTGGCTATCCATGAGCAGGTGGTTCACACCCACAATCACGGTACGAAAGTGAGTCCTCAGAGGGGGCAGAAAAGGAGCACTGGCCTGAAACGTGGTTTTTCCCTAGTCCAACAGGGGAAAGGGAAAGATAGATTTCTGCATTACCTTTAGCTGAAGTGGCTTCTGGACCCAAGCCGGACACTCACCATCAAAAGGAAAATCACAGATGAGCCGGCCTGGATCATAGTAGCCGGAAGTTTCCAAGAACATAAGGAGCTTCCCTCGATATTCTCCCAGTTCACCCTCTTCCTCTCCAGCAGGGACGGGGGTTTTGCCTTTAAAGGAAACCAAGCTCAACATGAAAGGATGCTGCCAGGCAGCAGTGGGAGGTTATCAAGAAAACGAAGGGGAGCATGCCCCACAGCCCTCCCTGGATGGCATCTGTCTCTCTCTCTCTCGGAACATCACCTTTTCATGTACCTTTATTTAAAGATTAGGAAACAGGCCTAGGACCTTGCCCAACATCACAGACAGCTGTTCACTGGCTGAGCTCGAAATAAGCCCCAGGATTTTACCTCTGCGACCTCCACCACCTCAGCGAGCTGTTCCACAGTTTTCATGATTCTGATCTGGCCCAGAGCAGATACCAGTGGACCCATTTCACAAAGGAGGGAAACCAAGGCACAGAGAGAGGTTAGGTGACAGGGCCGCAGAGATGCGGCCAGCACATAGAATTGGGCTTTGATGCCCTTCTCACTGTGCACCGTCCATGGGACACTCTCTCACTCACCCCATTCTCCCAGTTCATGCCTGACCACAGCCTCATTGTCACCGTGTGTCCTTTGGCCAAACAGCTCATCTCTAGTCTCTGTCTACCCATGGACAGCCTCTCTATCTCTGGGACCAGTTTCATCTTGTGGACAAAAAAAGGGGGGTCTAAGGAAAGGAACCTCACAGGGTGATCTGATCATAAATTCCTTGGTGGGTAGTCACGCCCCAGGCCTCTAGCTTCTTTAGTGAAAGGTTCTAAGCGCCCCTGCCCCGTTGTTCTTGTGCATCTAGGTTAACACACCTTTGAAATTCCACAAGTAATACCCCTCGCAGGCATAACCATCCCTAAGAAAGCACATAATCTTCTAATCCAATCCCTGCCTTGCTTTCTCCCACCCTCATGCTATCTTCCTTACATTCCTTCCTTAATTTCAAATACATAAAAGAAGCTGCCAAACTGTTATTCCTCTGGGGGGGCATTTGAGATCTTGCTCCCAGGCATATGTCGTCAGTTTGGCTCTGATAAAGTCAAATTGCAGGTTTGGAAGTTTCTTACATTGACAATCGCTAAGCAACTGCTCTGTCTACAAACTGAATTCTTCCTTCAGGGAGCATCTCTTCACTCTTTTCACCATTCATCCCCATTTTACACTGAACAAAACAGCAGTTTTCATGTGGATAATTGCATTTTGCATTCGCTTAGCACTTTCAGCTCCCTACAGCACTTCTCCATCTATTATCTTGTTCTACCCCAATAAGCCCGTGAGACTGACAATGTCCCCCCTACTGCACAAATGCAGAAAAGGGGGCACAGGGAAATGAGTGTGAACAAGGAGAGAATCTAGTGGATCTTTCTTCCTCCCCCCCCCCCAAAAAAAAGAAAGAAAAACGAAGGGGATGGGGTTCAACAATGTCACCACAATGATCAGAAGGGGCCTCCAGAAAAATAAAAGGGGGGGGGGAGCCTGCAGAGTGGTTTTCAGTTGGCCTTCTCTTAGTTTATGGTCTCTACATGGGCCCCAGACATCAGTTTGTGGTAAGAAAAAACAAAACTGAGTAGAGAAAAACTTTGGTAGGCAAACCTGTTTCTTATCTTAAAGACAGATATGTTCCTTGCCCCTCCCCCAGGGTGACGCCCAGAGATGCTGAGACTACAAATCCAGACATGGACTGCCGAGTCTCACGTGAAGGGTTCCTCTGAGGAACTTCCTGCCCACCTGAGGCCCACAGAGAAGTCGGCTTCCCTACGTCACACACAGTACCCTGGGGTCCCAGCTCGCCTCTAAGGCCCGGGGCCACATGGCTTTCTGTGAGAACTGGTACCTGCAGGGAAGGACAGGAGATACTCCTTCATCAGACCTTGCACCTTCTCACAGTACAGCTGGATCAGGCAGTTGTGGAACCGAGAGCCTGTCTCCTCCCAAACGTGGATGATGTGTTCCTAAGGTGAGATGTAGGTCTGTCTGGTACCCTCAATGCTGTGACCCAGCCCAGTCACCCAGTCTCCCTCACATTTCTAAAGCCCAACAGGTCCCATCCAGATTGTCCCCTAATTAAGCTGCAAAGATTACCAAGGGATAGCTCTTCTAAGACCACTGGGAAATTTCGCAATACAACCCAAAAACATTGGGAATTCTATGCTTGATTTCCAATCTAAGCTCTGCTATTAATTTCGTCTCATAAGCCTCCAAATCAGCCCACGTAATTAAGGTTAAATATTTGCATTCTGGTACTTAAAACCGATTTGGTTGTCCTGTGGTCACAGTTGAGTTAGGCTGTACAAATGTGGCTTTTGGGATGCTTTTCTTGAACGTTTCTCTTTTATCCCTCTGTACTTTACCTAGGTTTAGAAGGTATCAACAAACAGTGACATTTCCAGTTTGGCCTACTGGGATCTCTTTCTTCAGAGCATGTTGAAATAACCCTCTTCCTTACATTTTTACCAATCCCCAAGTGACACAAACACCAACCTAAACTACCTAGTAACAGACCCATATAGTCCTGGATCCTGGGTTTGAAGCTTTTTAGTTCAGACCAAAAAAATATCTTACCAAATAAGGAATAGCCAGGCCCTTAAAATTCTCTACTAAGAAGCTGAGCACTCGGTCTCGCGGCAGGCACTCCACCTCTGGGAGGTCTTCGGTAAATATCTGTTAAAACAAACCCAAGCTCTAGCACGTAACCACCTGTCTGCAATGCTGCCTAACGCACGCGCACACAAGTGGGGGCGTCGAGTGGATAGACTTGGAGGGGGAAGGGCATACAAGAATGCATTTGCAGCCAGTTAGTGTGGGACAGACTAGGCTGCAGGTCTCCTGACACCTGTGCAAGGCTCTTTCCCTGACACTACCCTGTCGTTTCTTGTTCCCCAGTCTACTCTTTTGTGCACCAGATAAACTGCACAAATCCTTCCTCGCTGTCCATCTATCGCTGTCCTAAGTACAATCAGGACCACCCGGGGTGCCAGATAAATCCAAAGACCTCCTGTGACCTACCTTTAGGCCATCCTCTGGAAAGTCTCTCAGCACCCACACCGAGTAGGAAAAAATCAAGTGCAGGTTTTCTGTGCCTAGAAGGAAAAGTAAGACTTGTCTGCAGGTGAGGACTGGGAAGGAGGTACCCAGGCTCTCCAGAATTTATTTTCCAGAGAAGATAGCTCTGTCCAAGCACCAGTCATTCAGAGCTGCTTGGTCCCCCTGAGCCGGCTACATACCAAAGGGCTGTTATGGTTCCACCACTGGGGGACTTTCCCCCCAGTTGGAGGAACAAAGCTGGGGAAACTCAAGGAGGGAAGGGACTGAGCAGGCAGGATCAGAGATGGAGGGCGATCCGGTACATTTGAACACAATTCCTTTCCAGCTCCGCTTCCACAGCTGGACTTACCCAGATGTTGCAGATACTGCACCGTCCTCTCATGGCCTTTCAGAGGGGAGTTTGCTTTCTTGGACTGGTCCACCAGCACCTGCAGAGCTGGCCGCGAAGCCCAAGAACATGGTCGTGAGACTCTTCCAGAAGGCTCATCCCCATGGGAGGTTTATCACACCCGAGTTTCCCCTGTCAATGGACAAGAGACCCTCCCAGATCAAAGAAGGCCCCGCCTCCGGTCACCTTTCTCATGGAGCCCCTTCTTCTCGTACAGGATTATCAGTTCACTGTACTTGTGAGCCTTCTTCAGCACATGTTCACTCTCTTCGATGTGGCAGTGATTGTTCTCCAGGCGCAGCAAGGGGGCCACCAGGGCCACGTTCGTCTGCAGAGGAAGCATGACTTCAATGGGAACTGCTTCCTGGGGAGCTGCGCCCTTACCCAGCCAAGGCCTACTACAGGCTGAAAGGCCAGGGGTGGAACACAAGCAAGAGAAAACAAACCACCCCTTTTCAGGACTACAGGTAGTGGCTGTTAGAGCATTTATGCTCTTTCTACAACATGTTTTAATGGTTTGTGTTTGTTTGTTTTTTTGTGTGGGGGGCGGGATATTTTCTTTGAGAAAATACTGTTCACCTTGTAGCACTAACTCTAATCTTACAGAGAAGAGCAGCCCACTGTGAGACCCTAGGTCAGTATCTTGCCTTATCCTCTCAATTCCAAGAAGCTCAATGGCATCAGGCAAAGACTAGGTGGTTCCTATTATCAAAAAGTTCACTCTTACTAGCAGCAGGCACCCCAAAGTGGCACTTTCCCAGTTTCAGGGGCCTGGAAGATTGTGGGTAGCCGAGTACTCAGAGCGCTCACATGGAGGTAGCACTTGAGCAGGGTGGTGTCAATGATTTGCAGCAGCTTCTTCTTGGATTTGATGGTGGGAGTGCCTTCCATGAGTGGGGAGGTGCTGGACTGGTGATCAGAATCATTCAGCTTCTTTACCAATTGGCTTCGTTTCTGCAAAGGCCAGAAATGTGGGATTAAGGCCAGGAGAAATCTTCCTTTATCACTTGATCTACCAGATAATTCCAAATACCTCCAAATCAGCTCACACCTATCCACACCCTGTCTCATATTAGCATACAATGTTTTTGAAGTTTTAATATTTAATGATTCTTTAAAATTTAAGTATATTTATGACATATTGCTCAATTGTTCATTAATAATAATTGTTACAATTCAACTCAGATGACAATTTTAAAAACATAGAGTCATTTGGGTGCAGGAAATTTTAAAAAATGAAAACGACATATTTTTGTTACAGAGATATGACAGATTGACAGAGTGCTCAATGAAAGACTTTCAAGCACAAAATGTATATATTAGGATCAAATTCTATGGAGGAAGTGGGATGCGAATAAAAATTCAAGGAGTAAAAGAATCAATGTTAACTTTTTTTTTTGAGAAAAACTTTTTAAAAAATAACTGAAATCCAAGGAACACTTTTAATGTATTATACACAATGCTAAGATTTTCCTTGACACACAGATCTTCCTCATTTAATCCCAAACAGACTCCCTGAGATAGTATACAATTTTTATCAGGGATCAAAACAGATGACTGCCAAATTTCCACAGATATAGTAACAATTATTATTGAGTATTTACTACACACCAGACACTATGCCAAGTACTTTATATTTTATGCTATTTTAAACCTAAAACAAATACAGGTATTATCATCCCCATTTTATAAGTGAAGAAACCAAGGTGCAGATGTTAGATACCTTATAAGTGGCAGAGGCAGGTTTCAAATGAGGGTCTTGATTCCAAAGCCCACGTTCTTATTTTTTTTAAATCAACTTTATTGAGGTATATATTATATACAATAAAATGTATCCTTTTTAAGTGCACTATTAGATGCATTGTGACAGATACATACTGTACATGCATGTAACCACCACCCCAAAGAACAGGACATTTCTATCACCCCAGAAAGTTCCTTTGCCAAACAATCCCATCCACCCCCTAACCCACTCATACAATTTCTATCACTAGGGATTAGTTTTTACCTATTCTAGAACTTCATATAGTGCAATCATCCAGTTTGTATTATTTTGTGTCTGGCAATGCCCATGGCCTTATGTGCTCTACCATCTCTCTGGCACAATAGCAGTGATGGTTAACTTCATACATTTCAAACATCAGTGGAGAGGCCAGGGAAGAATGTGTGCCTGGGGTCCTAAAGCACTATAAATCGAGAGCCTTCTGTGGAGCCAGGGGCTTGGGAGGCATGCTGCCGCAGGAACCTTCATTTGGCACGTGGGCTGTGCAGTGTGCTGAGAGAGGCAAGATTGTGTGCTCCTTACAGGCTGCCAGCCACGGCTGGGGGCCCCTAGGACCCAATGTCAAGGAACTGCCAAGGCTATGCATGCCCGATCAGACCCGAGGGACACCAACTGCCCAAGAAGAGGTGGCAGGAAGCTGGCTTACAATTTTCCTAGTAATACTTCTCAGGGCCTACCCAGGGGACCCCTTACAAAGGTCTGAAGAACACTTCAGAGGACAAAATTTACTAAGTTCTCTGACTCTGAGTGGGTGCACAGGAAATAAATAATAGCCTTCTGCAAAAGAAATGTGGGGTTAAGAAGCTTCGATGAAGAAGCTAGTTTTAGTGTTGACTTTAAAATTTCACTTATCTGTCCATGACAGTAAATTGAAAAAAAAATTAAATGTAAATACTTCCCCTAAAAAAAAACACCAAACCATGTTTTAGAAGATTATTTATTGGAAAAAGGTCTTTCTCAATATATGGCTCAATATTTTAAAAGTAAGATATAAAACAATATATAGTTTGATATCCATTTGTAATAAGTAAACCAATAAATAAATAAACAAAAACTAATTCACAAATACATATAAAAGTCTGGAAGAACACTGAAATGTTAGTTACTTTTCTCTGGGTTCTAGGAAGAAATATAGGTGATTTGTATTTTTGCTCTATACTTTCCTGTATTTTCCAAGTTTTCTGCATACAGCAGGTATTTTTTCCAAAACTATGTATGCTAAAAAGGTTGTTTTAAAATATGTATTCTTTTTATCAACTAAAATTTACTCCTTTTAGTCCTTGAACAGCTTAGTTGTGAATTTAGCAGAAATTGAGTATGTTTCTTGATATTAGGATTTGGCAAAAAAAAAAAAAAAAAAAGCACCAAAAAACCCAGCTCAACAGTACTACTGAGCAGGGAGAGGAAGCAGGAAGACACTGTGCCACCCAGGCTTGACTTCTACAGCAGTCATTTATGGAATGCCTGTGGCATTATAGAAAACCCTCAGTTCTCTGCCAAAAGGAAGCAGGTCTTGAAACTCCCACATCAACTCTTCCATACACCTCTATATGATACCAACCTGTGTCAGGTAGTCAATCAGAGCTAAGTGAGCCTTCTCCAATTCAGCCCCGGAGAGCACGGGCAGTGGGTTGGGATACTGCAGCTGCTTCCTGTAGTCCGTGGGCAGCAGGTCTGGGTACAGGCCCATCACATGGGTAGGATCTATATGGAAGGTAAAAATGATTCCTCAGAAAGAAGCACAGCAATTTAAGGATAAAATAAAACAAGTTCCAGGCTGATTTTTTTTCCAAAAGAATGACTAAGTTCATACTCAATGAGCTATACTTATAGTTTGAGCACTATTTATATATAGTTTACTAAAACATCACAAAAATGGCGTGACTACATTCTAACTCACAGACACATATACATATGCAGAATTAGCACTGAAAATTTATTAACTCTCTTAAAGTATAGGAGAAAAAAGTTTCGCAAGGAAAAATTGATAAGATATTGATGTTGAAAAGAGCAATAAACTGAAAACTAAAAAATTATATATAAAAAAAAAATGGCGCCCTCCTGTGCACTACTCGTGTGCAAGCTCCACACCAGGGGAACAATGGTCCCAAAAACCTCCAGCTCCCGCGCCAAAGGCACTCAGCTCAGTCCTTCCCGGAGGCTCCTGGGCCCTGCTCACAAAGCCACTCCCTCCACTAGGAACTGGGTGCTACTTCCCACACAAAACTGATAAGCTATGTAAAAGCCGAGGAATGGAAGCATGTGCAGAGGTTCTGTCTACATTTACAAGACTTTTTATTCACACTGGCTTCATCAACAAAACTTGAGAAATCCAGGAGTGTCTCGCCTAAGGATACAAAAGTTGAAAACAACTTATTCTTTATTACAGCAACTCCCTCAAAGACACATCGACTCTTCAACAAACAGTGCCAAATGACATTTTTCAAACCCTACACCCTTTCAACAATTTGTCTTGGAAACTTTGCCTTGCAGTGTGCACAAACACTAAACCATTATATCACCATTCTTACCCAAACCTAATCACACCCTCCCCCCACACTGAAAGACCTGCTTGAATGCATATTTCAAAACCTGAATAAATATGTGTCGCGCCCTGCCAAAAAAAAAAAAATATATATATATATATATATATATATATATATATATATATATGTCAAAAAGGAATATTACTAAAATAAAAAGACCAGACAACAGGCTAGGGCAAAAAACTGCAGCGTATATGGCAAAAGGCTAATAGATTGATTACACAAAACAAATTCACACAAATTGGTAAAATTTAGGTGAATTGGTAAAATTTATGATGACTGTTATATAGTTATTATCTTAAAAAAAATCTGTCTCCTTTTATAAGCTTGTTTCTACAGGGTATGGTCTATCATGTTTTTATCTCTGTATCCTCAAGACCTGATATCATACTTGGATTGTAGCAGGCATTTCATTCGTTCAAAAATATGTACTGGGTATCTACTGTGGGCTAGGTACTGTGTAGGGTGAAAAAAACGCTATAACAATTTTTAAGTAACAAAAGCTATGAAAGTGTATTATAATTGTTAAAATGTATACAATGAAAAGAAATTTGCATGTGGAAGAGACAAAATGGGAGTCAAGATTGGAGGTGAAATTTTTCCTTGATGTTTTAAATAAACTTTTGGTACTAGCATTGCTTTATTTTCATTTAAAAAAACATTGGCGGAATATTCCATTATGGACCCAAGTTCTATACAAGCTGACCAGAAGAAAAATGTTACACAGCCTTGCCTTGAACCTTCCAGAATCCATATCATCCCCAAGTCACTGTGTCTGGCCACAGTATTTCCACTTAGCCAGGAAGACTGTTCTTCAAGGTCAGAGAATTGTGATAACATGAAAAAAACATGAGAAGGGGCAACTGAACAGAACAGTTGGCAGTCCCATGTGACAGCCGCATGGAAGCGCAGTGTGAGCAAAGCAGACAGCTGCTGGGGACCCTAAGTGAACACATGGCCCTCGCTGAGGCCTCGTCCACCTCCTGCCACCAAGGTTCGTGTCAACAAACGTGGCTCTAATCACACTGTTCTGCTTAAAACCCTATGATATCACCCAAAACCTACCAAACAAAGTCCAACCTCCCTCCCTTGTGGCATTCAGGGTCCTCTAAAATCTAGCCCCAGGGTCTCTTCTTAGCGTGATCCGGCAATCACCACAAATGTCACACTGGGCTCTGGTTCACAGGTCCTCAGACAAGACTGGGGCCTCTTGCTGCCGCACTTTGCTTTACCTTCCACTTTTCCTTCTCATGCTTCAGGGTCCAGCTCTCCCCTTTTCTCCTGGGCAGACCTCTCACTTCTCTTCGCTCCTGGAGAACTTCTTCACACTTATCCCAGTGTTTTACTTAGCAACTTTATGTGCAAGCTCTTTGTGGACACAGAACATGTCTTATTTATCCCTGAAGCCCACGAAGGAAGACAGAGCTGGCACTGACAATGCTCATCTGATTTGCCTATTGGGGCAGCGTGTTCTCTGAGTCCAGCTGAATACCCAGTACAATACAGACATGTAATTAACAGTGGAATTAAGTTCCTTATGCAGAATGCAAGATACAGATCAACTCTGCTCTAGGCACACGGATCTGGATCTGGCTGTCCCTGCATTCTTCCAACCTCACTGCATTTGCATTAGCTGTTCCCTCTGCCTGGAATGCTCCCCAGAAATCTGTAGGGCTCATTAAATCATCTACTTCAAGCCATACATGAAATCTCTCCTGTCCAGAGATGCCTTTCCTGTTTTATCTTCACTTACAATCCTTACTTCTGTCTTAAGTACTCCTTAACCCCTTCCCCCTGCTTTATTTTTCTTGGTACTTATCACTTCCCAATATATTATAATTTTGCGCATTTATTTTGTTGTCTGTCCCTTCCCCATCAGGATATAAGCCTCACTACTTGGCACCTAGAATAGTCTTTAGCACCTGGTAGGAGCTTGATAAAACTTTTGTTGAGTGACAGAATAAATGAGTAAATTATGAAAATAGCATTTGAACCAATCCAACAGTCTAAGGCTCAATTTGAAGATCTAAATATGAGTTTCAAGAAATATAAGAACTATCTCATTCACACTCTTGCCATTCCACACCATCACACTCAACCACCAAAACCCCAACTCTCAGGGCCTCAATGTAGGAGTCTTCTCATCAAGCCCTCCTGCAAACACCTGTAGCACTTACTTTCTACCTTGCATTAGAGCTTTTTATGTAAAGTTATAGGATGCCACAAGGAAATAACTAAACATTTTTAGAATTTTAGATGTCTTAGAGAATTTGATGAAAGGTATTGGTCCTCTCTCCAGAAAAACCCACAAAGGAACAAAATTTTACATCAAGGGTGGTTCAGAGACTTGCTAAAGACCACTCACAGGCCCTGTGTCCCCAGTGGGAGGAGACAGAGCTTCTTCCTGATTCACAAGGGGTACATATATCACACCCTTAGGAGAGGCCTATGTGTGGAAAACAGGAAAGGGAGGAGCCAGAAAGCAAACCTGGGCCCAGTCCATCCTGCACTAAGGGGACGAGGGGACTCTGGGTCTGGTAGTAGGACAGCCAAGCCATTTGAGACTGTTCTCTGCAGCCAGGCCTCCCTCTGACTCAGAAGAAACATGTCTCCACAAAACTTCTGTGCCCTTGAAGCAGTCTTCTGACTTCGCATTCCAGGTAAAGTCTATTCTGCTACAACCCGTGTCTCTTTAATGTGAATTAGCTCATGCGCAGTTGGTAAGTGGGAAAATAATGTCAGTATGAGGCAAAAGCTGTGTTGGTTTGCATGCAATTGTCCCCAGTGTGTTAATGTTTTGAAGTGACCAGGGGCAAGCGTTCTCATAATCAAAGAGAAAGCCTTCCTAACTCCACAGGAAGATCTAAAAAAAATATATATATAGCTGAAAATCCTATGGAAGTGCCCTCTTTTAGTGTAAGTAGTGGCTGGTTAGTAGTCTATTTCAAAAACCACTTTTCTTAATATTAAGCGAAGTCATCTGGGGAAGCTGAGAGTAAAAATGAAGCAAAGATGTTTTCCCCATGTTAATTTTTGGAGGAGTCTCATAAAGAAGTCTATACCCAAGTTCAGATTTTTTATTTTGATGAAACTAGTTTCTATTAGAAGCAAATGTTCTCAAAGATCTGTATCTCAAAGGAGAAAGCACAGCCCCAGGGTTTAAGACAACAAAGGACTATCACGTTGGGTACCAACAGTGGGAATTTAATTTTAGTAGAATTGTTATTGTTTTTATAAGTGCTCTGCTTACAAAGTTGCCTAGGTTTTCAGTGGTCTGCTCCAAACTTATTTTTCTCATAAGCCCTGTTGTTTTTCATATTTGTTATAGAATATAAGGTTTGCAGGACCACAGTCAAGGAACAAAAATGCCTGTACCTCAAAACACATAAAGAAGGGTGCTCTGGGAGCCATGTATGACTATTCTGGCCCCTGAAAAGGGATCTAGCCTCCCTACTATAAGTAAATAAAGAGATAATCAGCCTCATGTGACTTTGGTTAGGGTCAGGCTGGGATCAGTGTTCTGATGATCTCTAGATTCACTACTGGACCTGAGGACCTGACCTTAGACCAAGGTCAGTCAATGGAGGTGCTGCCCAAGAGGTCCAGTCAATAGCCAGCTGCCCCCTAAACAACACAGCCACCAGCAGACATCTCCTCCGGCTGCAGAAAAGGATCCATTTGTGCCTTATCTTTCCTACTAGACTGTTCTTTGAAAGCAGAATTCCTGTCTGATTATTTCTGCTTGAGGCCCAACAGAGTGCACCGCACTCTCTAGGAGCCCAGTACATATTTGTGGAGTGAATAAATTAAAAGGTAGTAGCATCATTAGGACTGAATTTAGAGCTTTGGGATTGGGGTTTGAGTATTGTCGGTACACGGAAAAAGGATCAAATTACCACAGCAGTTCTACCTTATTAGTCCAGTGTCTTTCCAAAGAGCTGGTGGTACACTGAAAATAAATGCCCCAACTGAGTTCATTCGGAGGAAGAACAGTAGATATTTATGGATTTCAGGTTTCCCCCAGCTTCTATCTCCCTTCTTAACAGCAACTTATTTCCTTTTGGCAAGCTCCCTCTTCCATACCATGTGTAGTCTTGGTGAGAGAACAGTTCTAGGCACCTACCTTTGCCCTCAGAAACAGAGGGGGACCACACCTCTTTCCCCACCCCTAGTGCAGTCAGAGGGAGTGAGACCATGACCTAATTCTGGACAATCAGATCCCCTTGATCTTGAGAAAGTGGTTCAAGGACGACAAGCAGTGTAGCACACACCAATATCCTACACGCTCCTCTTAGGTAGTGTGGGGTCTGTGTTCCCTTGCCTTAGACCTGGAAGAAATGGTGGAAGTGACAGTCATAGAAGGCAACGAGGTCTCCACCTAGGTCTCTTAGATTGCTCACTCTGGGAAAAGCCAGTCGCTCTGCATGAGGACACTCAAGCAACCTTGTGGAAAGACCCACCTGGACAAGAACTGAGGCCACAACCAACACCAACTTGTTAGCTATGAGAGTGAGCCACCTTACGGATCCTCTAGCCCAGTCAAGAGTTCACATGGGGCCGGCCGAGTGGCGCGATGGTTAAGAGCTGGCTTGGGACGCCAGAGGGCCCCGGTTCGGATCCCACATATGAGGGCCAGTGACACTGCCCTCTATAGCTAAGATGCTGAACAACAGCTCGACCTGGAGCTAGGCTGCCGTGAGTCGCCGGTAAAGGCTTAGGCTGTAGCCCCTGCTGCAGTGGGTTGCCATGGGCTACCGTGTGTAGCCAGCAGCCAGCGTGAGCGGCCAGCAGCTGCTGTGAGTGGCCTTCCAGAAGCTGGCAACTGATCTACCTCGCCCGGGAAGAAAGCAATGATGGTGCCAACTTGGGCCGGTGAAGCAACGTCCTCCACAACTAGACCGAAGAACAAAATGACAGCAACTTGTCTGTTCCCCTTCCCCTAATTCCCCAGCGCTGTTCCCATTCCCCAATTCCCCAATAAAAATCTAAAAAAGAAAAAGAAAAAAGGCAAATAAAAAAGGCAAATAAAAAGGCAAATAATAATAAAAAGGCAAATAAATAAAAAAGATAAATAATAATATGATATAGAGTCAAACCAAGTACATATAGATTGATCCTAATTAAGCAAAAATGGAATATACAGAAATGGAAAGTTTAATAATAATAGCAAACACTTAATTGGCACTTATTAGTACCACACACTGCTGTAAGCACTTTACATAATCTTCACAGCAACACTGTATTATGATTTGCCCTATTTTGCAGAAGAGGAAACTAAAGCCCAGAGAGGTCTACTAACTCTCTGCCTGAGGCCAGACAGTCTGACTCCAGAGTGCCTGTCTCTCACCATGATGCTCTAATGTCTCAAGAGTTTGTAGGACACAGATAAAAGGAAGAGCTTCACTGCACTGCCCTGCATTGGCACTCAAAAACAACCTACTGTTTAATCCTACTAAGTTCAAGTCAGGGATTTTTTAATAGAACAGCATTCAATAAATACTATATAGATAATTGAATATACATTTGTTGAGCTGATAATTTTCTGTTACCTTTCTCTAATGGCAAAGGCAAATTATCCTGGAAAATTGGAAGTCTGTCTGTATTTACGGGTAAGACCAAATTCATGAGATTAGCACTATAAATACGTAACCACCATGACCACCCACAGGATCCAGTTAGAAATGAGGATCAATTTAGATAAGCCTAAACTTTCCCCTTTCTCAGAAGTCTGGTGTCATCTGCCCCATCCTTTCCAGTTTCCCCTCTCTCTCTTAATTCCTTATCCCAAGGCCACGTCCACTTATTACCTGTGCCAAGCTTAGCAAACACCTGCATGGACTCATCAAAACGCTTCTGGCAGAAGAGGTTGAAGGCATACAAGTTCTTTATGTGATGGATCTGTTGCTGCTTTTCACTATCGGAATCATCTTTCATTTCCTAATAAGAGAATAGAATAGGTAAGAGCTCACTCACTCAACAAGTATTTATTCAGTATACACTAGGTATTGAACAATATCCCTGAAGGTACAAATGCCAATGTGTATAGACAGCCACACGGTATCTGCCCTCATAGGCTGCCCTTACAGTCTAACCATAAGATTGATAAATAATTATGCACTTAAAATACAGCAGGGTTTCTACAAAATGTACCTGACCAGGACTCCTGAAAACTGTCAAGGTCATGAAATGCAAGGAAAGACTAAGAAACTGTCACGATCAGAGGACACTAAGGACACATGACAACTAAATGCAATTTGTGATTTCTGGATTTCAACCTAGAACAGAAAAAAGGACATTAATGGAAAAACTGGCAAAATCTGCATTGAGTCTAGAATTTAGTTTAAAAACAAAAAAATCAACACCAAAACAAAACAAGGTAAGAGTGATGACAGAAGTACATGGAGGGGTATGCAACTTAGTCTAAGCAGTGGGTCTGGAAAGAATTCTAGGGAGAATGTAAACTGAGGCATAAAGAATGAGCTGCAGTTAGCCAGGGGAGGCCAGGCAGGTGACAGATGGGAGAGGAGGCGGAAAGTGTGTTCCTAGCAAAGAGGACAGCACATGTGCAAGGCCCTAAAATACCAGAGAGAGAACACAGCGTGCTTAAGGAATAAAAGACACTTCACACAGCTGGTACAGTCAGGAAAGGTCCTATTCATAGTAAAAGCTAAATAAATACAGCTATTTATTATCTCTTTTTCTTCCTTGTAGCCTTTTCTTCCCCATGTCTTCCTTATAACCAATCTTTACTAAATTTAATTTCTTCCTTCAAAATATCTCTCATTTTTTTCTCTTCCTTTCCTCTTATTTTCTGTTGCCATCACAACATGCAGCACACCTGGTCCAAGCTCTCCTGCTTGGTGCTGTAAAGGCTTTCACAACCTGGTGCAGCCTCCTTACCTAGCTGATTCCCAGACATTCAAGCCACACCCTCTACTCCAGCCAGGATGGGCTCCAAAAGTCCCGGAAATACTTGTTTCCACACTTGTTTTCACTTCTTTAATTTTCTTGGGCTCTTCAATGCTCCCTGTTTCCTGTTCCTGATTTTACCTACCCTTAAAGGGTCCAACTTCAGGATGCTTTTTCTAGCCCATAAGGAACTGTCCCTTCTCTAATATTTTGCTCCACCATAGTATGCAACTGCTCTCTGAAAGTTTCATATATGATTCTTTGATTTACTTAAATAAAAGAGAGGTTCCTCAAGAGCTAAGATATTATCAACCAACATTCTTTTGTCATAGGGCAGACCACCTAATAAGTACAAGCCTAGGAAAGAGAAGGGAAAATGGAAACCCATTTCCGTCTTCTCTACTAAAGACTAAACAGATAACCTGCAGCAGGAAGATCAATAAAAAGGCCCAAGACCTTCCTTTTAAGAGAAATACAGATACTAAAATAGCTATATACTGCATGATACCCTATTTTATTTAGTTCAAAAACTAAATACATATTCAAGCATACATATATGTAAAAAATTAAACAAAAAAATTTTAAGGGCATGATAAACACAAAATTTTGGTTAATGGCTGTGTGTAGAGGGGAGGCAGAGGGATGGGATGGTGGGAGACTATAGGTTACACAATTTCTTTTTCTTGGGTAGGATGGTGGGTTCATGGATATTCATTAAATTTTAAATGAAAATAAAATAAAATAATACAGGGCAATGCACGAGTGGAAAATGACAAAATAATAAGATGCTGAAATTAAATGATAATTTTTATGGGATAGTAAACATGCCCAACTATTAGGATTGCACTTTTGTTTTAAATCCAGAACTCATACATCCAAAATAAATGTTCCTCTTCAAAAGTATCTACCGTATGTGACTATAAACATATGTATACCGAAATTTGTGACTACTGCTCTCCTTTCAGAAATAATTTACAAGATACTCTAGAAATTAAGCTTTCCTACTATCTTCATAAAATTTTCTTCTATTTTACCAAACTACCACCATCTAATTTAATGATTAGGAAAGGCTCAGAATGACTTTTGATTGTTTCCTAAAATCAAAGCCACACTCTACAGATGACAATAATCACCACTGGGGCTGTTTAAAAAGAGTATGACAGGCCTAGGGAAATAGGAGTCCAAGAAGTCTGTTGGCCATGGGAGCATTGCTGGAACCAGATCATGTCACTACTCTGCTGGGAACATCATGCAAACCAAAGAGTGAGACTTTCATAAAGAAGAGTTCAGCCCTGTGGAATGCAGCAGCTTGAGGTGGTTGCAGAATGCCTACGTAAGACCTGCTTGTCCACACACAGAAGTCCACTGTGGAAAGGGACTTTGAAAGGCCCTCGAGTGGTTGCATTCAAACTGTAATCTTACATTTACGATTGTTACTTTACTCTAATATTTGCATTGTCTTTAATTTTTCAAGGCCAGACCATATCTATTAAATTCTTTTATTCTATTAATTCTACGAGGTACTATTATTATAAATGGCATTCAGTCTACATTTGACAGATAAGCAAACTGAAAAAGTGAAATTACTTACATAGATACTTTAAGGCAGTCAGACCCCGAATCCAAGCCCCCTGACTTTCAGCTCTGTGCTTATGCTACCAGTCCAAAGTAAATGTGAACCACTAAACCCAAATTGCCTACTTTCGACAACAGTGAGGAAGGCAGACTTACACCCAAATCTCAGAAACAAGACTTACTGCAAGCTGCAGAGCCAATTCAAACTGCTTGTCCTGGAGAAGCTGTTGGATTTGGGTTGCCATGGGGACAGGAATGAGTCTCCAAACAAAATGATTGCTGGCCACATAGATGATGTTTGATCTGGAGGCAGGATTAAAAATATCAGCAAAAGTGCACAGGCTTTATGATGACACAGGTGACTTTAAAGCTTTAAAATAATATGGCAGCTCAGTAAAGACAGAAAGTCCTTACCCTCCCGATGTAATGAAACGGGGCCTTTGCAATTCAATGCTCTGGACCAGAAGCCTCGGCTCAAATGTTCGGATCTCCACATATCGAGGCAACACTGCAATGATGTAGGGAGGCTGGTGTTCTGTGCAAGAGAGAACATCTTGAGTTGTAGTTCTGGTTTAAAGCTTTAGGTTTATGGACTGTTTCAGTTGCCATTTCTAAGCTGCATTTAAATGAGACCTCCAAAAAGTCCACTAGTCAAAAACCAAGCCAGGATCCTACAAATGTGATATACAAAGACAAAAAGATTGTTCGCCTGAGTGATGATAAGAGAAATCTCCTGCCCAAAAAGGATGCATCCAACTTTGCTGAGCGTGACCTGATCCCACGTCTACCATTTCTCCAAAGAACTGGGTGGAAGCTTTGCTTGCTCTTTCTCAGCAGCCACAAAGCCAGGCCCGACAAAGGCCAGCTACAGCTGCCCCTAACAACTTATCAGTGGAAAGTGAAAGTCAAGGTTGCATAACCTCTTCTTTCATTCTCTTAGAAAGGGCAAGAGGAGGGCAACTTTTTTTTTTTTCCCTAAAATTATGCTAAAGAAAGAGTTCCACGTTTCTGGCCAATGTTGTTTCTGCTCGAGATTTCCAAAGGGAAAAGATACAAAACTCCATTTGATGATTAATGGTTCACAGAGAAGGCAGCTGGATGGCA